AATGTTTATTTCAAAATTTCTCTTAACCCTTAAAATAACACTAATAATGACAAGTTTGGAACAGTGGTTTTTACCACACTGATCAATTATAAAAATATCCAAACAGATTACCGCAAAACAGCCATTAATACATGGTTTCTCTATGCAGCAAATTAAATCCCATGAACGGTAGCCCATAACTGGGCAACCGTAACGGAGTTAGACCAGAAATAGTCAGGAAATAGAATAGTTTGGGCTTGTGCAGGCATGCGAGAAAACGTATAGATTCTCTCTCCGACTTTATAAAAATAGCCTTAAGTAACATGGTTGCCCATCTGCAAACAGTACAGCAAAGTACTTTTGAAAATATATTCGCGGGGTTCTCTCATGTGGTCAGAAAGGTAATCATTGTAGGACTTTGCGGAAGGGGTAAAACGTCGTAGACGAGTACTCTCCGTAATCTCCAACTTGGCCAAAGCCGTAGTTTGGAGAAAAGATAACATCCAAGAACTCGCTGAATGATTAGAATCTTTAAACATTTTCTAGGTCATTTTGCTTATTCATCATTACTGAGCTACAGTTATAGGGCATAGCTATGTAAGTTGATTATGGAGCAGACTGATTTCCTATAAGACAGGAGAGGTCCCCTAAACCACAAGAGAGAGTTAGGTACTGCAAAAAAGCCAAAATGTAGCCTAATAACGGCAAATGTCTAAATAATTGCCCATGTGGGTTGCGACTGCATACCAGGTTCTGACTTACTGCATGCACGTGCAGACCGCTTTGTTGAACAAATCATACTGGTCTTAGCAATAAGATTACTATAAATAGCACACCTAGTATTGACAGAACTACTGAAACAGCAGTATCTTAGCCATAGTAATCCTAAGTTTGCGGTGTCTATCGAAAGCTGCACCCAGTGACCATACGAGATGATTCTCCTATGGCCCGGACAGACAAACCCCTAGATGTCATGTCAGGTAATCGGGATTTCTCGGCACTAAGTTTAGTCGCCGAATACTGCTAGGTATTAGTCAGGTCGTCACCACTGTCATTTCTATCTGGAGGCGACACCAAACGTGTATATTTATGTGCTCATTAGATCAAATACGGTAACAGTTGCCTATGGACTATACGAACCAAATCGCTAGTATCAACAACATCCCTAATCTTGCACTTTTCCTGCTGAAATGTACTCTTTTCCTTTAGTCCCGTACTTGTAGCGTACCTATTTAGAAAGATAGTGTGTAAAATCTGAGCTACAGCTAGGTACTTTGTAAAGTCAAAGATAGCCTGAAAAAATGGCAAATGCCACTTTTTTACGACCTAAATGCATGGTAGATATTCGGCTATTATTACAAACACGTTTCTTTAATGCTTCAGCCTACTATAATACGCATATAGATTACGAGTGTACATTAAGTTAAAATTCCTAGATGCACGTAAAGGCCGCATTGTATTGAACCACTTACTGGTTTTAGTAGGTATGGTGACTAGAATCAGCACTCCTAGCATAGGCATAGCACTTCTAAAAGTAGTATCCTGGAAAAAT